CAACTGGGCGAAGATATTTCAGTTTAATCCTCAGAAACGAAACATAAAAATTCTCGCTTCAGGCCAGAAGTTTACTTTTATTTTGAATTATCTTTGTTGAAATCGTTTGTCTTTGTCTAATCATTCATAAACAGTTTCGTTCCAAAGTTGTAACAATAAAACAGTTAAGACCACTAGTTTTTTTCGCATGTATTGCTAAAGATAAATATCTCTAAGAGGTTTGATGATTGGGTCGGCGATCGAGTTCTACTTAATTGACGTGCTTTTGTAATTTGCGAATACAGCGATGTTCAGTTGGCTGTGGTAAAATCAAAACCAAACTAATTACTTACTAATTACACTACTCGACCAATCTCACACCGTAGTCAAACCAAAACCAAAACTCAAGTAATTGCCTGATTACTTTGGACACTCAACTGAAAACCCCTCTAATAAATGAAACAACTTCAAGATAGCCGCCAGATCTTGGTTTTCTGGTGATATCTTCATTGACATTGGCTGGGTTATATTTACTGGTGTTGATTGACTCTCATAGTACAATAAGTGTAGTCCAGGATTAGCTCTAACTTTATTTAATATCAAACAACAGCAGTTAAACAACATTGTTTTTTTCTTAGAGAGAAACTTACCGGGAAGATGACCTAGTGTCGAAAACGTTCGGTGTTTTAGCCTTTTTTTAGCCTTGTAAATAGAAATTATTTTTAAAATATAAAAGCATACACTGAGATCAATATTTTGAATACTTGAAAGCAGCTGAATTGTTGCATTTGTGGTACTGTTTTATTTTTTTGTTTGTCTGTTTTTTTGTTTTTCTATTTAGTATAGTATATTAGTTGATAATTTAATATCTGACAGGAGTGATTTAGAAAATGACTTGATCAAGAATAAACGCTAAAAGATTGTTAAAACACGTTTAAAAAAACGAACGACGTTTCGGCGCTACGTTACGCCATTATCAAGTTAAAAAGTGAAAAAGTATAAGTGTAATACGAATGTATCAACTATGAAATAATATATATAATATTACAGGTCCTATGGGTATAATTCCCAAGGTAAGAAACACAATAAGGAAAATAAAATGCACGAAAGAGTCACTAATATATGACCAGTTTGGTGCGAATGGAGTCGGTTTGCGTCTTGATGTCCTTTATGTACAACATCTCGTAGACTAAGCAATCAAACTTGCTGATACATTTCCTCAGAACTTTGAAACGGTGGTCAGACTTTGTTCTGTTGTTGCCATGCTGTGATTCAAGGTGTTTCCCGATGGCTGAATAACGGTGTTCACTTATGCTTTGATGCAAGTGTCGGGGAGTGAACCCGACATAATTTGCATCAAACAAATCACATTGAAATAAGTGTACAACGTAATGAGTGTTGACGATCGGGGGTTTGTTTTCCTTGACACTCAGAGTTTTGTGACAGTTTTCTGCTTGTAAAGACGGGTTTTACGTCAACATCGATCTTGGCTCCCAGAGAATAGATATCTTTTGGTACGCGATCGGCTATCGGTCGCTGATCTTTAAAGGGCAATACTATGTAAACGGATGGGTCTGCTGAAGGCACGGTGCGTAATTTTATTATCTGGTTCCTGGCTGAACTTATTTGTGGTGGAATCGACCAATGTTTTCGGATAGCACAGCTTTCAAAACATGGTGCGTAACTTGTCGCATTCTTTTGCAAATCTTTGTTTAATGGAAGATAGACGGTACACAACGGTGAACCATCGTGTTGACTAGGCCTTTCTTGTATCTGCTGTCGACGTGGCTTTGGAAATGGAGTAGAAGTCCTGTGTCGGTTGGTTTTCTGTAGACTTCCGTCGTTAGAGTGCCACCACATCTTGTCAAGACTGTCTTGAGAACCGCAATAGAAACCCCAACTCCAATAGTAACAAACAAGCTAGGGTGCACGCTGTTGAATACTTGAAGGAAGTGTGTCGCGGATTCTGTGTTGGGTATTGTGACTAAAGTGTCATCAACATATCTCCGATAAAAATAAGGGATCATGCTCTTTTGTTCCAGTTAGTTTTCTATAAGGCACAAGAAAACGTACGTTGGCGAATAGTGCGCCCAGCGGTGAGCCCATGGCTATACCATTTGTTTGTTCATACAATTCGCCGTTTAATTGAAATAGCTGGTTCGTAGTAGGGATTTCTAATGGTTCGATCAGTTGATGCTTTTGGAGTTGCTATGCGTCTTATTAAACCAGTCACCCTCGAAAGTTTTGTTGACGAGAATGTCAATAGTTTCTTTTAAAGGAACATTAGTGAATAATGCGGACACAACACAGAGGACAAGGATATGGTTAGGCTAGAGGCTAGTGTTTTTTATCTCGTCAATAAAACCAAAAATATCGTTGATACCATATTTGCTGGTTGATAACAGCTTTCATTTTTCTTCGAACCATTTTGCCAGCGAGTAGTTGTACGTACCAGAGGCTGATAGATGGGTGTCATGCAGTCTTTGTCATATCTTTATTTCAGGCTTTATTTCTTTTCAGTCTTTATCATTTATAATATCTATATATACTTTAGGTTACTGCTATTTTCATGCTCTACATTGCACTTTATTCTACTTCCTGACTGTATTATCCTTCTAGTAATATCTCTTACTAACCGAGTTTGAGGTCCGTAATGTGAGTTACGGGCCCAGTTTTTTCCCTGTCGATTTATGGTTATGCCGCAAAATGTAACAACTGACGCAAAATGTAACGTTAACGCAAAGTGTAACAAATTTTGACGCAAAACCTGAAACTTTCTTTAACGCGAATTGCAACAACTTTTTAACGCAAAATGTAACATCTTTAACGCGAAATGTAACAATGCAAAATGTAACAACTCTGATCTTAATACTTAAAGAAGGAAATTCAGATATATTAACTTTCTTGTCAAGCTTAACAAGCCCGGTCAGTCAAATTATACAAACCTACTGGCCGCATGACCTGCTTAAAATTTTCTCCAATTGAATTGGAAAAGTTACGTTACTTTAAAAAAGTAACCTTAGAGCGCGAACTCTAAGGTTGATATTTTCTAACGCTAAGCAAACAACAACAAGTACACAAAATGTCCGAAGGCACGATCTTGTGGTTTCGAAAGGTCGACGTTTTTTTCTCGAATTAAAATACTTTAGAGCCAATAGAATGTAATGTGAAGAGCGGTAGAACAACACTCTGACCCTTGTTAAATGGTTCATTCAATTTAATTTTGGACTAAACACTTTTAGCTATCTTTACTGAACAGTCACTCTGTTTGTGTGTTTCGTTTAATGATGGGAAAAGCAACGGTACATTTCAAGTAACAGAAAGCAAATGAGAGTAAGCAATGAGAGTCGTTTAAGTAACCATTCTTATGCAGGTTTCAGAAATAAACCGTTGGAAACTCCTCCTATGTGTATGTAGTGTTAGTGGCAAGGCAGACTCACTACGTTCATGCCATTACCACCTAATCTGAAAACCGCTTCAGCTTAACTTGTGCTTTCGCAATTTTGAAAACTTGGGAATTTGTGATTCTTCGCTCCCCTTTCCCACTTTTCTTCTACTAGTATCGATGGTAACATAAACTGCACTTAATTAACCTAGGAATCAAAAAAACATACTTCACAAGGTTTAGACCACCAAAGGATAACAGCTTAAGGTTTGCTGAAGGTTGTTGTGTCCTTTTAGCCACCCGAACACAGTGAATGGAAATGTAACTTAAGCTGTACTAGTAATAATCTATCCAAAAGGTTGTTACATTTTGCGTTGTTACATTTCGCGTTAAAGAAGTTATTACAATTTGCGTTAAAAAGTTGTTACAATTCGCGTCAAAGAAAGTGTTACATTTTGCGTCAAAAGTTTTTACGAATCGGGTTAATGTTACATTTTGCGTCAAAAGATGTTATATTTTGCGGCGTAACAATGGCCCAAGCGTTGGGCCATAAATCGGCGGGGAATAAACGAGGATCCCTAACTTTCAGTTAATAAGATTTTTATTACATCTCTCCTGTGTGTCTGACAGGACGGGAACGATTTCTATTCACGCGGAACGGCTTCAAATTTCTTATGCAACGAGTCAATTTGAAATCGGTAAGTCGGTAGCACGTTTCAATACGCAATTTAACGTAAAAGGAAGTTTTAAACTTTTACTTGCTGTAAAAGTTAAGAACAATTGGTGATAACTCACGAAACATTTTGACAACAAAAACAGCTCAGAGTTTTAGCGGGCAGTACAGTAGAATACGGCCCACTAAATTGACCAACCACAGCGCACGTATTAACTAAGAGATAGAATAATGGTGTTTATTTAGTTCTCTCTTTACATGTATATGAGTACCGACCTAAACTTGTATTGATATATTGTAAAACTAGCTCGTTATTTCAGGTGGCCAAGACCCCAATCTCTTTTTTAAATAGTTTATATACTAAACTCAATGAATGGGGGATAGAAGCCTGCTGTTGTTGTTGTTGTTGTGTTCATTATCCTCCATCACCGTTCCTCGGCTAGAGCACTCTAGGGCCCGGGACGTAATAACAATATTTTCGACAACAAGACGTTTTTCGATTTCTCGGTATTCGAGCGCAACTAGCTTTCAACTGAGGCTAACGCGAGGAGTCTTTTCAAATGCAAATGACATTAACCTCGTTTTAATCCCCCGCATGAGCCTCCATTGCAAGCTGTAGTTCCAGCCCAATACTGAGAATACGAATATGTCCTAGCTATTAGATGTAAGTGTTTTGAAGAGTGGGTGGCTTTCGTAGATATCAATATTTATATAGAGCAGCTTTACAGAAATATATCACGGAACACTACAATTTACACACCACCTCTATATTTCTATATTGCAGGTAAATTTAGCTAATCTGCTCTCATCATTATGAAACGTGCAGATATTTATTTCACTGCGATTTTCTCCAATGTTTTGCCTCTAAATATTAACATATTAACCATTAAAAAATAATCCAAGCTCTGCAAATTCGTTGCCGAAAGATTTCATCTGCCTGACATTTTGAGATGGATAGTTTAAAAGACGAGCACTGCTGAAGCAAAAACTGTTTCTAGATTACTCGGTACATGGAGGGCGAGTTTATTTGTCCAAGTACTGCCAGTCATGGGGCACTTAGCAAATATACGCGCTTCTATAGATGGAAAAGGCTATAAATAAGAAGCAATTCTTCCAGCAAGCAAATATAACTGGGAAACGACATAAATACTGAATTTCTAGTGGCTTGGTCAAACAAATTTCGTCTACTACAGGCAAGGAACTCAAACGGCATTCACCATGAGACTTTTGCTTGTCGTAACCTTAGTGCTGGGAGTTATGAAGTGTCAGGAAGGTTAGTTAAAAGTAATTAACGAATGATTTAATAGACGACCTAAAGAAAAACATCAGCCTTCCGCAACAGTTTTAACCAAATTAATAATACACCTTTTCAGTTGGACAACGCTTCGTAATTGCCTACCGAAAATGAAATTAAAAAGGTTAGGCCCCATTCTTCAGACCTGATGGCAATTTTGATGGCAAATCGTATAACATGACAGTCGGCTAATCAAAACTGGTGTTGTTTCCAAGAACACTAGTTTGTCCGTTTTCTTCGGAATTTTTTCTATTTTTTCAAAACTTTTTGAGAAAGCTGCTTTACTGCGAGACTGATGCTGAATTTTCATGTCTACCCACCAGTTCTGGATTCTAATTTGCGCGTTTTGTTGTTTTTAAATTAATATACTTCATAATAAATTTCATTTTAGTATCGTTCTTAGTGCTTCGAAAAATGTGTAAAGCGTTATCGGAACAGGTAACTTAGCGCGTGTTTAAAATCTCTTTCGTAAAACAAAATGTCCTGTGAAAATGACATTCAAACGTCAGTTACTTTATTCAAGTTAGAGTAGGAACAAACACCCATCCTTTATTTACCGAGTTTTCATCTTGACTGAGTGGCATGTATTTTCAGCGTCCAAAGAGATGAATTAAGCCTATCAAAAGGGCAGTTTTTGTTCTATCGTTTTATTTTCATAGTGCTTGGTTGTAGCCCTATCCCGGGGCCAGGTAATGGCGGTGACGGCGGTGCCGGTGGCCCTGGTGGTGGTGGAGGCGGCGGCGGAGGTGGCGGTGGTGGAGGCGTTCCTGGAGAACCTGGTGCTCCTGGTCGTACTGCGTATGTTGATAACTCCTGTAAGTAATTTCTTTGGAGTTTTTCAGTTCAATAAGTACACGAGGCGCTTTCACCACACATTTGACACAAACTCACACTAGCTGTCTCCAAACCGTCCCTTTCCAAACAGATTGCTTGATAGCTAACATGCTGTATTATCCATCAAAGGGGTCGATCTCTCTTCACATCTGACCCAAATAATATAAACAGGTCTTTTCGCAGAAATGTTAAGCACCCACTTTTTCTCAAAGAAAGTTGTCATCACAAAACAATACAAGATTGCAAAGAAATTTGAAAGAGCCTGATAAAGTCTAAAATTTTTTTTTTATCAGTCACTTGTCACTGATATTGTGAGATTTTAAATGGAATTGAAAGTTACGAAATAAACAAAATCTTATTTAAAAAAATTTTGTACCAAACAACGCACAAAGAATATTGACCAGAGTCAATCGGTTGTCGATGCTGAAAATAGCTACCATCATGAAACATTACAAGTTTGCGAGCATTTTTTGATATATATATATATATATATATATATATATATATATATATATATATATATATATATATATATATATAAAAA